TATATATATATACGTATATATATAAATTAAAACAAATCAGCAAAAATTTAATTAAATTATATATAAAATAAACGAAAAATTGATTTAAAATCATTTATAACATTCAATATAATCAAATATCAGAACAAAAAAATAAAAATTTTATTATAGATATTTTTCAAAGATTTAATGGTGTTATGGCTGCATTCTGATATTCGCTGAAAATCTATAATGCACGTAATGTATGCTATAGATTTTCAATATTGACAATGAATATCAAAATATAGCCTATAGAACAATACACAGAACACATATACACATTGTGGACACTTGATAGAATTTGGAATTTCACGAAATGCCAGTATTTATAAAAAACTTACAGATCGTGCGAAATAGAAAAAATACATTGTGAGTAGATACTTCAGAAACATATTCTTCACGATATATTTATATTACAAGTTTTGTGGGTTTCTTAACCCTATTTGCAAAGTGAGATTCTTTCAATATTGCCCAATGTTTTCAATATAAAACAGAATTTTTGTAATTTGAATATATATCTCGGTCTCATCATTTCCGATTAGCTTTATCAACCGATTATATTAAGAACTGCTAATTGCTAAACTGATCATACTTAACCTAATTTCGTAATTATTAAATGAAACGTATTACTTAATTATTAATTACAATTATTATCTTTTACATAAATAAATTATAATTTACAGAAAATGAACAAGAAAACAAAATAATATAATTAGTTATTAAGTTTGCAGTTGGCAATTCTTAAATAGATGTAATCGGCTAATCAAACCAATCGGGATAGACCGACTCTATATGTAATCTCAATCCATATAATCATATGAATTTATCGAGTTTTAATTGTGTTACTAGTTATTTCATGAAAAAGGCAGATTTTACTAAGTATTTATGACATTTGTATAGGACTAAACTTAAAGTAAACTATAAAGTTTTACATAAAGATTTACATTAATGGAGATATTACCAAAGAATTCGTACATACTACCTGAACAGTGTCCTTTTGAAATCCAAGAAATTAAAGAGATTTCTACGAAGACTGATTCATCAATTAGCAAAGATCAAAACAAAGATATCACCAAGAAATACTTTTCCCATTTCGATTTAAATGAGAGTTCAGCATTAATGGACAGAGACGAAATATTTGATGGAAATACAAAGACTTTACTGGAACAAAACCAGGCAAGTGATTACAACAGGACTAACAATGTGAGTCGACACGTGATTGAGTTAAGCGACAATAACTCCAAGATGGTTCTGCGGCAGCAATTCGGAGAGATAGCAGAATGTGGAAATTCAAATTTGCAAAACAACGCAATGGATTATGAAAATATGGAAATTCTTCGGAAGCTACCACCGGACACGATTGTGATAAGGCAAAAAACAAAACTAGAGGATAGCAATTCCAGAGAATTGACAGAAACGTATAGTAATGATAGCTGTTTGATTTCCAGCTATACGGATGTTAAAACGAAAGGAATTTCACGAACTCTCAGAAACAAAACGTAAGCTACATCAAAATATACATTACATAACATAAATTATATATAACAAATATATGAATGTATAAATATATATACATATAAATATTAATTGTATATAATAATTTTATAATTTATATATAAATATATTTAATTGTATGTTTTGTGTGTGTGTGTGTGTGTGTGTGTGTGTGTGTATGTGTGTGTAAACTAAAAACTAATTTTTATTAATTAAAATAGTAAGTAATAGTTTCAATATTTTTATACAGTATACAAAATTTTTTAAGTCTTCAACAAATCTAAAATATGGAATTTATTTAGAATAGATCTAATTCAATAAAATAATAAACTTTTGTATATTAATACTTGTGTTACTTAAATAACTTTTATACACAAAATATAAGTATAAAAGAATATGAATAATATTTTAATTTTATAAAAAAATTAATAAAATAGATGTTTTATTATTATTATAGTACGTGTAAGTTCTAAATTTATTTCATAAATTCTAAGAATTTTTTGCGACCTGACTTATTTATATATTGATCTTCATACTATTTTATACTACTATAATATATAAATCTCGATCTTTATACTATGTATTTTATACTACTATATATAAATCTTAATTTTTAATCTGTCCTTTTAAGCATTATTTACTAACATTTTTTTTATATTTACTAATATAAAGAAAATATAAAGAAAATACCAGAATATTAATCAACATAGTAAATTGTAAGATAATAATAATATGAAACTTAACTTATGAATGAAAAGCGTAACTTACAAATTAAATTTAAATTTTTACATAATTGTGATTGATGAAAAAATTTAGATATCTACAAAACATTAAATATTAATATCTAATACCCAATTGATTGATATTTCTATTTAATCAAAAACAAATTGTTTCTAATAAAAACACGTTATATATAAAGGGCTTACTTTATAAAGTAATTTTATATAAATTATGACTGTACATATATACAGAAAAGACATTAACTTCATTAGAATGAATAATTTATAAAAAATTTTTTAATATTTAATATTTTATACTTAATTTTTTTCAGTCTCAAAACGATAGAAGTGAGACGAAATCCCATGCGAGTGTCCAAAAGAAATATTGTTAAGGATTTTTCTAGACCCAAACAACGATTATTAGCCAATAACAAGAAAGAATTTTTTTCGGATTATGAATTTGGGAAACGTATAAAATCATCCGCGATGCCATACATGAACACCAGATCTGTTACTCGAAAGATGTATACTGTAGGTGCTACTTATCAAGCACCTACAAAAAAAGATGAGACGGAGTGGAAGGAATGGCCCGTGCATGGAATGCATGAGAGACCAATCTATCATCCTCAAGTAAAATTATCTTTCCATATATATAATATAATTTCTTATTTATATCATATATTCTTTAAATTATAAATTATGTATCCTTGAATTTGTTAACCATTAATTAACCTCATCAAAATTATTAAAGTTAAACTTTTAGAAAGTTTGCATTCATTAATTTTTGAAATTTTAAAAATTTTTTTCTTATGTAACTTTTTCAACATTATGTAATTTAGTTTTTCATCTTAAATTTTTATTTTATTATACATATTTTTAGATCAAAATTAATTAAAAAAGATTTATTCAATAATATCAATAATAATTAATGGGTTGAATAATATCAATAATAATTAATGGATTGAAATAAAACATTTCGCACACTTTAAATTTCAAAAAAGCAAATAAATAAATGTAATTACTATAATTTTAATAAGTGGGTCTCTAATTTTTAAGTAATATTGATTAGAAACTTATTTCACTACAGTTTAATTCTCAGAAAAGACATGTACATTTTTAAAAAATTTGGATAATTAGAAGAAATAATATAATTTCTAATTAATTTTCACTTAAGAAAGAAAAGATTCGATTTTAATTTTATAAAAAGTTGATCTTATTTAGCACATCCTTTATATGTTTATGTTCTTAGGCTGGTTTAGCAGTGGAGTATTTAGGAAAATATTTCACCAGCCTTGATGGATTATCTTATTGCGAGATTATTAATGAGCCTGATATCGAAGTGGTCTCTGTCGATCCGTATTGCAATAGACGAGTATCTTCGGCCGAAAAGAAGCTAAAGGGAAAGATGAGAACAAAAAATAAACGTTCATTGAATACTAAAGATGCATGGAATACATATCTCTCTATGAATAACAAATCTTTTGAGACATGTATGCATGAAAGTCTTCATTGTGTATTTGGTTATTGTTCGCAAGTTATGACACCAATTTATAAGCATACTGTAGAAGAAAAAATAACAAAGCTGATGATTTCTGCAGCCAAGACAAACTCTTTAGAATTGGCGAAAACCACAACAAATGTCAAAAGTAATGTTACAACTTCTTCCGAGAATGCTAAGCTTACAGAAGAAACAAAGTTATTAGAAGCCTATGCTATCGCCATGGCGCAAAGCATTCAAAATAAAGATATTACTAATAGCACAAATGATCAAGGAGTCGCCTCAACTTTTCCGTCATCTTCAGCAATGTATGTACCAAAAGCACAGACAATGAAGCTTAACAGTTCAAAGATTACTTCGCAGAATGGAGAAATGGTTAAGATGAATTTGAAACAGATTATTCGGGACGCTCCAAACAGTTCTCTAATTTTGTTGAGAAGTTCGGCTACAAGATCTGCGAGTGGCGATGCTTGCGTAGCAACCGCAAAAAATATATTTAACTCGGCAAAATCTGAAGATGCGTCTAACAACGAGACGTTGATGGGAATGTCAATTTACAAGAAGTTGATGTTTGTGAAAGAACCGGCTTCGAAATATGATAAATTATCAATGAATAACTTGCATACCTTGAAGAGGTATGCTACGGATACACAAGAATATACGACAAAGAAGACTTTTTTCGAAAACTCACTGGATAACAAGAAAACTATCCAAGTTAAAGAGGTACATGAAAGCAAAAATCCTGAAAAAATAAAGATGAATAGAGAATCAGATAATAGAATATCTATAACGAGTTCTAATAAGAACTTCGCATGGTGCACCAATAAAACTTCGGAGATTGCCAGAATCTTATCGGAATACAACGAAAGCACGTTGAGAAAGTCCTTGACGCAGAATCAAATTTATAGTTCAAGAGATATAAAAACAAGCTTGACGAATCCGAGCATCAACAATTTGCCGAAAAACCTCTGGCAAAAGAACGTAATAGATGAAAATCAACAATTTATATCCTATCCAAATACGAGTTTTGATTTCCCACAGGGAAAATGGAAAAGGCTTCATCTAATGCTGGAGAAGACCAAGGACAGTCAGATTACTGGTAGCAATCAAAACACTCGGAAGAGCTCTTCAACATTATTAGAAAATCATAAAGTTTTTTCAAAGGATCAACAAATGAACTCAAGCACATTGAATTATATAAAAAAGAATTCTATTGACTCTCATAAGGATATAAATAAACACGAAATTATCATGATTGATGTTAAACCGAAAGAAGAGAAATCGAAATGTTTTAAAGATGAATCGGAGATATCAAAAATGGGAACGTTGGAAGACCTTCTGGAGAACACTGCGATCTTATATTGCGCCGCCAATGGAGTTCATCAAGATGATTTATCGAACTATATTAATGCCCTTGACAGCAAGCAAAGCATTCAATGGTTAGAGACTTGCAATACTTCTGTGTCATACAAAAAATTAAAGAATTGAAATATTATTTTATTTAATGCATACGGTATTATTATTAAGTTCACATAGTTATGCTTACTTATTTAAAGTTTTATTAATGAGATAATTTTATGGAAAGATAATTGTTTATAATAAATTAGTACTCTCGGTTTATTTTATCTTAATTATCTTACAAAACAATGTATAGAGAGATATAAAAGAATGTGCGTGTGCGTGCGTGCGTGCGTGCGTGCGTGCGTGCGTGCGTGCGCGCGCATGTGTGTGTGTTAATATTATACTAAAACTTAACGTAGAAATTTAGATAATTACAATAAATTAATAAGATGTTTATTCCATTAAAATCCTATTAATAAACCGCCTGTTCTATTAAATATTTATTTAATTATGATATTTTCGGTTTTATTAAGTTTTTTGAATCTTTTGTGTGTACTTGATATTATAATGTAGGTAATATGAAATTAAACACCATTGGGACGTACGTGTCGTATTTGTACGTGAAGAATCAAGGCTCAAAACTTTTTACCAGTTTCGTTATATCTATAAGATTTTGACAAGTTTTTTGATTAAACATGAAATTAAAAATAAATAAAAATTACGTAATATTAAAATATATAAAATTATATTTTAAGTTTATTAAATTTTAAATTAATTTGAAAAATTTAATATTAATTAAACAAAATTGATGTATTTGTCTTAGAACATCTAAATTTAAACGTAATTTGAGATTGTAGTTAGTATTGGAGATTCCTAAACATTAATTTTATTTACTAAACTCTAAAGTTACATATAGTTACAGAGTACGCTAATTGTAAGTAAGACAACAGTTTGTATCTCATGTATACAAACTCGAATCTATAGAAGAGAAAAAGAAAATGAAAATTTCTCTGTTTCTCAGTCTCTCTCAAAAAATTAAATATTTTAATTTAAAAATTTTATTTTTTTAACCGTACTCGTTTCTTCAAAAATTAAAAACTTTTCCCAATAATTGAAATTAAACGCGATAGTCTCTAGATTTCTCCTGCAATGATTATATAGGTTGAACGAAAAGTTCAATTTTTTACTAAGAAATGGCATTATAGTATAAACACAAAAAAACGAACTGTGGAACGAACTGTCAATCCAATGAAATAGTTTAAGAGGATCCTAAACCCTAGATCAAACTCCAAAAATCCGCTGTTTTACCGACAATTTGTGAGTATGTATGCGTGCGATATTGATTAGTGTGTAGTGATGTGTCATGTTTATAACCACATTAATATATCTCACGCATACATATACACAAATTTGTCGGTTAACGCAATATATTTTTATTTAGGCTTCTATACTTAATTCTAACGCCTCACATATATTAATTTCTTTATCGTACATCTGGCTCTGCCTTTATTTCATATAATCTGCCTAACTTTTCCGAAATAAACGTTTGGGTAAATTGATAGCATTAGTCGCCATGTTGAGGTTAAAATGGATAACGAAATCTGTAATTATTTTATTTTTTCCCGTTTTTGATACAGAATACACCAGAGTCCAGATACATTAGCATGTTTTAATCGTGGAAAAGGAAATTTTATTCTATGTGATTAATATACGAAGTAATTAGTAACCAACAAAAATGGTATTTTTGTCGGTAAAACAGACGACTATAGCATCCTCTTACAATTAATAGTAATAATACTACCATAGGATAGGCTGAAAGCGGACATGTCCGCGATTTAGCTGAGACGGGCGATTGAGCTGGTTTCAACGCCTCTATGTCCACAAAACGTGGACATTGAACTACATAGACAATGTCCACGAAATTGTCGGTAATGTCCACGAATTTTTGGTGGTAATCCGTGCTATGTCCACGATTTAGCGGTTGTGTTCCGTGCTATGTGCAGGAATGCGAGTAGGTTAGTTAGACAAGGACGGACATCAATCTCGGTCGTCCTTGTCTCACCATCAGCTAACAAACACGGAGGCACGGAGCTCGAGCGTCTTGTTTATCTCGCGGACACACTCCCCTCTCTCCCGTCCCGTTTTTGTGTCACGCTTCGTTACGGAAATTCAGAAAGAGGATTTCGGGCGATTTCTGGCAGCGCTAATGGAAAATAGTTAAAAGGAATTTTTTCAATATAAATTTTATATGCTGTCGTGACACGCGTGCATATGATTTATGCGTAACAAATACGCGCGTGTTCAATATATTGTACAATAAATAATAAGAAATAAATGAGAATAATTAAAATAATAAAGATATTTGACGTTTTTATTAATTTTTTCACTTCCAAGCGATTTTATGTAAAATTTAGCTATTATAGTTTAATAAATCGCAAGTGAGATATCAATAAGTTTTGAACTCCTGCTTTCAGAAAACTCTTTCAACTTGGTGATAGCGTGTCTGCCTAGTAATTGTGAGATCGCCGCGTGCCCGTCGCGTCTCGACGAATAATTTTTTTTTTTATTTAAAAATTTTACTTTTTGCAAAAAGAAAGTAATAAATCACACGGATTTATACACTTTGTCTATTTACTTCCCATAAAAAAAACTTGTACATACATTTTCCCGTTTTTATCATACTCGCTGCCTTGAAAATTCATTTTCTAAATTGCTGTGTATTAAAACTAAAATTTCTACATTTAGAAAAGGAAAAATATTATGAATAATTGCCTTAGATTAAATTATTCATAATATTCTTACATATCTAAATGTAGAATTTTTAATTTTAATACACAGCAATTTAGAAAATTAATTTTTAAAACAGTGAATATATGATAAAAAAAAAATGTATGTACAAATTTTTTTATGAGAAATAAACGAACACAATGTATAAATCCGCGTGATTTATTATTATTATTATTTTACATTATAATTAAACATTCTTATTTAAAAAAAATTTATTCAGCGATACTCGCGTCAGTCTCATCTCGCGAGTCAGACACCGCCGTCGTCGGCATAATCGCTGTCATATTTTATATTTTTATTATGTAACATCAAAGTGTGTGTGTGTGTGTGTGTGTGTGTGTGTGTGTGTGTGTGGGAGGAAGCTGAGAGAGTTAACGCACGCTATCGCGGCTCGCCCGGTTTGAGACCGAAAGAACACGACTTCTCGCTTATCGTCATCGCTTCGCGGCTGGCGGTTTCCTTTCCTTCCGAACACGACGACGACGACGACGGCGAAG